AGGTTACGTCTTGTTCAGGTATAATCATAAACTCTCCTGGCTGGAATCACACTACTCTTACAAGGCACAATTATGTCTAGAAGTCCTGATCTCTTTTCTCCCTTTCATGTGGTTATTCCAAGTGATTACACATATATTCTTCTAGAAACATACTTGTGTTTTTGGAAGAACCAAGAGAAAGGCTGGAAATTGTACATGGAATTTCTAATCTTGGTCCTTGCTGTGAAGTTTTACCACGCAGGATCGGCTGAAAATGCTGACATAAAGAGAAGTGCTGTTGCTGCACTCTGCTTTCATCTGGATCCTGCCTCATCCTTCCCCGTTTTTTCATTGCTGGTGGCTTTCCAAGGAGGACAGCATCTGGGTTCTGTACATGCAAGCACCTTTAGATAGTTGTATGTGAGCAGTTCCACTGAGAGCAAGAGGATTGGCGTTTGCAGGAAGCTAAATGGGAATGAAATTACAGAACAGGCTTTCTGCTATCCATAGTCTCTGTAGACCAGAACGTCAATAATTCTTCATGTGAGAGGGGGAAAAAAAGCCTTTTGCCCCTTTTCAGTGAGAAGCTGCATCCTAGCATGTGAAAAGCTCTTTCATACCACCACTGATTCCTTGACTGGAGGTTCCTGTGCTGTGGCACCTTTATGTGGGTCACCACCATCCCTTCTCTGAAGATGGTAACACCTTATCCCACTGTCTACAAGTAGTACATATCCCCTGCTATCCTATACACGAGGCCAGCTTTTCTCTGTATTTTGGAAGGAAATACATCTCTTGGCTCAAAATTGTAGGGATTGATTCTTTTCAGCTGGCCACTTCCTTGTGGTTTTTCCAGGACTCAGGAGAGAGTTACCAAAGTCCAGTTGTGTGATCTCAAGTGCCAGACTGTGATCCTGAGGCCTTCCATAATAATTTGAAGTATTGTTAGTTTAATTCTGTCATAATTACCCAGGTTCATTAATATGAAAAAGGGAGATGTAGACAATTTATTTCTGCTTTTAATGGAGCCACCTGTGCAAATGAAAGAAGGTGAAAGGTGCGCATATCATTCAAAGTGCCTGCTGTATAAATATCAGTTTTGTCATGTTTGCTGTGTGTGCTTCTTGCAGAGGAGCACCATAACTGGGGACAGGATTCATGACAGTGACCAGGAATGTGAGGGATGCCTTTCCATCTTGGTTTCCATGGCTGTAGTCAAAATAGGAGACAGTGTCCTAGTGAGGCTGGCACACAAGAGAGTTTCTATGATGTTGGCTGAATAAAGCAGGATACCTAGTTTTATTTGTGCGTCTGAGCTGTTTCTGAGCAGCAGTAACTGGGGATTGATGTGGCAGACAGGCAGGTGATGGATTGTGCTGGCTCTGTGCTCCAGCCAGGCTCTGGAGCTGACGGTGTACAACAGTGGTGTGTCCCATCAGAACAGAGGAGTTCGTGGCCCCACTTCTCCGTGGCGAACCTGGTGGGTGAGCTGTCCCTGGCTCACGTCAAGGGCTGGCAACAGAGGTGGTGTTTGTGGAATGGCGGCAAACGGGGCCGTGAGATGCGGGGCGCCAGCAGCCAACTCAAGGGGCTGAACCCCGCCGTGTATCAGTGCAGGCAGGCAGAGGCATGAGGAGATCTGTGGAGTGGGGTCTGGCAGCTCTCGGGCCGAGTGTGGTCAGGCTGCGCTGGGGCAGCACAGGTGGGACGGCCCGGCCAGGTGGGGCTGGGAGGGGGCGGCGGCCGCTCCTGCTCCCGCTCCCGCCTCCCCCTGAGGGGCGGCTGCTGCGGCCGGCGCGCGAGGAGGCGGCGGGAGCCAATGGGGGGCGGCTGAGGCGTGGAGAACGGGCCAATGGGAGGCCGCGGCGGCGGAGCGCGCGGGGCCCGGGCGGGGGAAGGCCAATGGGGAGCGGCGCGCGGCGCGCGCGCAGCCGAGGGCGGGGAGGGGCGGGGGGGGGGGGGGGCGGTGCCGCCCCTTCCCCGCCGCAGTGAGGAGCGACCGGGCGGCCATGTTGTGCGGGGGGAGGGGAGCAAGGAGTTGAGAGGAGACGGCGGAGGCTCCCTCACACACACGGCACAAGATGGCCGGGGAGCAGCCGCAGCTCCCGCCCGTCTCCCGCCGCTCTCCCCGCCGCTCGCACCGGGGACGCCCGGCGAGCGCCCTCGGTGCCGCTCCCGGGCGCCAAATCGGGCCCGGCACTCTGTGGGCTCCGGGGCTTCGGAGGGCGGCGAGCTGGGCTGCCGAGCGGGGCTGCCGACGGTCGGGCAGCAATGGCGCCGGGCTGCGGAGCCCTGCCCGCGCCGCTCCCTCTCCGGGCGGGCGCGGGGCCGCCCTTGACCGCAGGCAGGGAGAGCCGGGAGCAGCGCCCCGTCCTCGGGGCCCCGGGTGCCTACCAGCGGGGCTGCTCTTCGCCGGGTAAGTGCCGGAGACTCCGGGCTCCTCATTGTCCTTTGTCCTTGGGAGGAAAAACAAAATGTCCTTGGAGCCGGGAGGGGGAGGGGGCGCTGCCTCCCCCTGCCCCCCCTTCGCTGCCTCCCCCTGCCCCCTCGCTGAGGGGACCTGCGGGTACCCTCGGGGACCCCCGCCCGTGCTCGAGGCCGGGCTGGGCTGAGGGGGAGCAGCGGGACAAGGGGAGCCCCGGTGACCCTCGGCGGCTGCGGGCGCTCCCTTCCCTCTTCCTGCAGCACCCGGGGGTCTCCGCACTCCCCATCCCCGGTGCAGCCCCGAGGGGAGCAGCGGCGGGTTTTGGCTCCCTTTGCAGCACCCAGCACAGGGGGGGCTGCAGACCGGTTCCCCCCAGCTCAGCCTGCAAGGGGGGTATCTGCAAACCAGCCTGGAACTCCAATGCAGCAGTGGAGGGAGGGGGGAGAGGTGAAGGCTGTACGACAGCATCACTGAAATGTTTAGCCCCGTGTCTGTGTAAAAAGCGTTTCTTGCCCGTTGCTGTTCTGATGGGGACATGTTTTCGTAGTTTCTAAGAACAAAGACGCCATGTCCTTTTCTCTTAAAAATAAAACTTGGAGTGGTTTTTTTGTGGGGTGTTGGCTTTTAACTCTTTGTAAACCAGTAAGAGAGAAACAGGCTGCGGATGAGACAGATTGGTACTTTATGAAACAATAGAGAGAAATTCACTTCACTGGAGAAGCAGCAATTCAGGTGCAGAAGTTTAAAAGAAAACTCTTAAGAATTCCGTGCAAAACTGATTCTGCAATTAAAACGGCAATGTAGAAACTTAAAAGCTTGATAAAAACAAAGCTCGGTCATGCCAAGTCTACAGTTTAAAGTTGGCAAAATAGTACAGTTGTGATTTAGACGACACTACAAAAAGAAAAGAGTTACTTAAATACGAAATATACAATAAGGAAACGGATGAGTTTGCGTCTGACATTGAAAGCTTTTAAAAAACATTTAATGGGTATTAGGTTTGTTTTTATTATTCAGTTTATAGGTTTTTCAGAGACCTCACAGTTACTTCTCTTTACAGAACATTTTAATCGTCGTTTCGGTGTTCTGGTAATTTAGAAGTTGTACAACACCTATTGCGAGACTTTCTAAAAATGCAAGTTTAAATGTAATGGCTGACGTTTGTTTTGGGTTGGCTCGCGTTCAGCAATTGCCAATTTAAGGGAAAAATTGTAATTCTAAATGTATAAAAAGTCTCTGTAGCAGAGCAAGAGGTAAATACTAAAAACTTTAGTTTTAATTGGAGGTTGTGCATAGCCATATTTGCTGGATTTTAATGGTCTAGGCTTGTGCAAGGTTATAAAACTCTGTGCCGATTTTAAATACTGCAGTTGGACGTAAATCTACATTTTTCGGTACTTCCTCTGCAAATAAGAATATCATTGCAACAATCGAAATTAGCCTTTTTTTTTTTGGAAATAGAAATACGAGTTTCAGCAACCATTGGACTTCTGTCACCTTTATGCAGACTGTTCGGTGTCTTTATTTTAGATTTGGATTATGGTGGTTTTATAACCCCAGCAACAGTTCTGCAGTGTAGAACAGGTTCTGGCATACACACTTTGCCCTAAAGAAAGTTCTGGCTTTAGGTGGGTGTCTGCTGGATTTGTCTTAAGTATATTAGAGGATAATTTTTAAATAATTTTGACTGACTTCTTTCAACAGCTGAATATAAAATAGCAGGTAATTGTCCAGAAAATAAATTACTTGTAATTCCTAATGTGTTTTATTTAATAGTTCTGCGGCGAGTTTTTGTATTTAAGTTGTAGGGGTTTGAATTTTTACATCTTTTAATCCAGCATTAAAATGTTTTTAAGGATTGTATATTTACAAAATGATTCTACACTTCTAGAGTAGGAAGTAGTGCTGGTGATAAATATAATTGCTGTAAAATAAAATGTTATGGCTTTTCACAAAAGACAAGAAAAGTTGGCTAGTAGTAGTGCAAATGAGGTGTTCCTTGTGTTAAAAGAGCATAATTTGAGATCTGATTACAGGTTAAAGGAGCTGAAGGCTTTAAGACTGTATTCTAAAGGGCAAAAAAGATTTTTTTGGGAGATGAAGTAAGTTAGGACTTAAAATTCACAGAAGCTGATGACAGAAGCCATTTTAAAATAACCTTGCTATCAGTAGAGGTTTTATTTAATTTTGCATAGCCTACTTTTAAAGACTTTAATGTGGAAAAAAAGTAAAAGAGCTGAGGGATATTATGTGATAAATTACTCAGTTAAAAAAAATCTGAAATTGACATTTTAGCTTTGCATCTTTCAAAATTAAAGTAGTGGGAGACAGAAGAGCAGACTGCAGTTATTCATGAAAAACACAGTGTTGTATGCGTGTTGTATGTCAGTCACTCATCTCCAGTGGGTTTTTCTTCAGCCAGGAATGTACAGCCACTCATACTTTTATTTTTAGAGTTCAGTTCGAAAGGTAGTTACTGCGATCGTAAGTTTTTTCTGACTTAATAATTATCTAAAGATTGATAGATTTCTGGCATATGACTTAAGTTGCTTTTCTAAAGCAAAATGCTGAAAATTTCCATACTTTGTTTTTTCAGGTAGAATTTCGTGAACAGAACTGTATTTCCTGACTGGCTTCCAGAGGATTTGTTCATGCCTTATTTTTCTTAGGTAAGAATGATTATGTCTTGTGTTAATATGTTAATTTCCTTGTTATTTTTTTGAGACTGGAATTTGCCTTTTTGCTGTTGTGCAGATGGGAAGAAAAAAGAAGTCTAATTTTTATACGAGGGGGATACATTTTATAAATTATCTGGACTTCTAAAAAGCTTTCCTTTGCAGTTACAGGTAGACTGTCTTCATATAATGTCATGTTTATGTGCTGTTTGGGTATAAATTTCAATTTACTAAGGTTATTTAATAGGTGGATTGTTTATTTTTATAATATAGGGGTGCATATATATATATGGATTGTATTTGGTGGAAAAGGACAGTATTTGCATATAAACTGAAGTTCTGTATGTCCCATTTAACCAGTGAAAATTTGCATTATACTTTGAGAATGATTGAGGCTTTTTACTTAATGAGTTTGTAGCATTAATGTTTGGGGAAATTATAGAGTTTGTATATGAAAGTATTAACCCAAGACTTTAGGAATACGTAGAGAAGGAAAATTTTGAGACCTTTTTCTTGTTTTTGAGGACCTGGAGGATAATACTTAACAAAGATAGAATATTGGTTTTGTACTGTTGATAAAACTTTCATTTATTCAAAGACATTTCCTGTACATGTTTTCAGAAAGTTTGTCGGTCAAGAATGTTAGGACTTAAAAAGCTTGTCTATACCTTGTTCTCAGACAAACCTGGTTTTGTTGTTTTTTTTTTCTTTAAGGGGTATTACTGGATATTGTTCTTCCAAAGATTCAGATGGCTGATTGGGCAAAAGACCTTGAGCAAAATTCTGTACTGTGCGTGCCAGGTATGTTACACACTGTGTTATGGGGTTTTGTCCGTGTTTTTTGTTTTTTAATTATCCTGGAAACAATTTTTTTCAAAATAAAAATTAAACATTTAAGTTTGTGCTTTACTTTGTTGAATTTTTTTTCTTTCGAGCTTAGTGCATTTGGAAATTGTATATACATACTTACAGCAATGTTAATGTCTCCTGCATCTTTGAAGACTTTTATGGTCACTCACAAGTGCAACTTTTTAAACTGTCTGGTATGACCATGTTGACATGTGGTGAAGCCAAAGGATTGTCATCTCCTAAGGATGTTGTCTAATCAAACTTCAGGAATGCTTTTCCTTAGTTCAAGGTATTGGTTCATTAGCAAGGGACATTTAAAAGCTTTTCCTTTTCAAGAAATTGTTTACACAATAAACTTAAAAATTCTGGTTTTGGTGTAAATTTTTTTCTAAAAGCCTAATGTGGTACCAAGTTGTTACGAGATCTTACTCTTCTCCTTGCAGTGTAAACAAAGCAGCCTTTTAATGTTTATTTTGTTTTTGCACTTCAGATCCTGCATTTAGGATCAGAGTAACATGTTGCCTTTGAGTAACATGTTTGCACTCTGTAATTAAAAGTGGGGGATCCTGTTTGCCTGTATTAACTGGCTCCTTTTCACAGCTTCCCGTGCTCATGTACTTCAGTGCATACTCGACCTCAAAGCGTAAGGCGTCTTCATGAGGACACATGTATCAGGATACCCAAAAATACTTTGGATGGCTTGGTTTTTAAAGTTGCATAATTCATCATGATAAACAAAGAATACAATAGTGAATCCCCACCTGAGTGCAGCTGGGGTTTTTTTGGCTTGGATGAAGCCTTCAGTCTGTTCATAGGAAAGAGATTGTACACAATTTTCCATAAGCTTTACACAAGTGTCTCTTCAGGTTGTAATATACCTTTATCTGCAGTGAGTCACTGCTGATGTGCAAAGTAGAGCTCAAATTATATTTATAGATATTGGATGTGTGCCACCATCATGGATGTCCTGCAGCAAACACAGCTAACGGGCAAGGTGATACGTCAGTATGTTCCTGCAACTTCATCGTGTGACTGTCTGATGGGAAGTGTGAGAACTAGAACTTCGTGTTAGAAATGATCTCGTACCTTAAGAGCGACAAGGCATATCTAAAATCCCACATAAATCTAAATTTTCAATTTAAGAGGGTCAAAAATCACAGGTACTGCACAGTCCCTTATGATAAAGGAAAGACCAGCCTGGTCACACAAAAGTCTGATAATAGTGATGAGATTGAACCTGTCAGACTTCACTTATATTCCTGATGTTAAATTCTGAAATGTCCGAATCTGCAATTTCTAATTGACCTCTTAAATTAAAAAAAAGGTAGAAAAGTAAAAATTAAAACACAGTGCTCAGGAGCAGATCTTGGCTGACCTGAGCATTTTATGATAACTATGAAATTGAGCACTTTGATCTTAATGGTCTTGCATCTTTCCAATGTTGTCCTGATGCAGATTGTGCTGAATAGACATTACAATAAAAGCAACTTTAACTGTCCCTTTTGTGAGCTCTTTGGAGCTGCCTTTCGTGCAAGAACAACTTGTTTTCATCTAACAGTTGCTTCACTTCTAGGTTAAGTAGACCTCACTGGGTTAGATGAACACTGCTGGGACTTGAAGTTCCAAGCTCATGGCTATGCTACAATGTGCTCATGAGGATCAAGGGGGTCAGGAGAATCAGGTTGGGTCCAGACCTCTTCAGAGGAAGCTGTTCCTCTGTGGGGATACAAACCCATATTAAGTATTCTCGTAGAACATATTTTGGTAGTGTTGGCAGCATACATGGAAGAACATCGGTGTGGTGATACACGTTGTCTTTGCCAAAACACTTAGTTAATTAAATAATGAATACAAGAGAAAATGTGATAGCTTTTGGGTGCCTGACCTCGCCTCGTGCTGTAAAAGGAGATGCACTGTGTGATGGCTAGTGCCAGTCTCTGGGGCAAGGAGCCATGGACCTATGAGGCTGGGCACGTTTGTGTGCCGTAGGCTGTCCTGAACTTCAAGTAATTTTAAGTTGTACTTCTGTAATTCTAAAACAAATATAATCCACAGCTATTCGATTACTTATAAAAAGTAAATTAGTGTTTAATTTTAAATAGGGGATGGATTTTTTTTTTTTAATCACCCAGGCTACAACAATTACAGCAAGTAGTCTGATTAAGAGATTTTGACATTAGATACAGGAAATACAGCTGTTAACACGAAAGCTTAACTTTTTTCAGCCGAGACTTGTGTTTCCAAGCTCTGGTTTCTGGCTCATGGCATAAACCTGTAGCTTTGGTGATTTGTTCTGTAGTTTAAGAGAGAATGTGTTTTGGGTGTTAAAATTAAAATACAGGAGTATATTCTATAATAGTGAAAAAATAACTTGTGAATGAAATGTAGTATCAACATCCTCGTGCTGCTTTTACAAAACTTCCTTGTTTGGTTCATCCACTCACTTGCAAGAAGAGAAGTGTCACTACTCTGTGATATCACTCTGACAAACAAAAGACTGCTTTTGCACAAGTGTGCTGAGGTCAAAGAAGAAAACTCCGGTGGAGTCTTCATAACATTGTCATTAGAGGAAGGTGCTTTATGGTGACAGCCATATTAAATATCCTCATTAAAGTTTCTGTCAAACTACCATAGCTGTGTACTTGCTCTAGGGTTAAAGAAGACAAGAACTAGCTTGAAAGCAGTGATGGACGTGTAGCTGTGCTGTAAATTATTAAAAATGGCTGAGAACTGTAATCTGAGTCTTCCAGTCATTAACTTTACCTGTTTTCATATATTAGATTGTAGTTTCTAAGTGGTCTTTTTTGAGTGAAATGATTGAAAGGGCCTAAGTAACTGTTCCCCTGGTTCATGTTTCATGCCTTGGATGGCTCATGGATGCCTCATGGCTGAGCAGAGTCCAGCAGCCATGTTGTGTTTATTCTAAAATGGTGGATGGGCACTTCACAGAAGTTCTGTGCTTCCATTTAAGCAGCTGCTTGTGCACATTCAAATACATTTTAAAATATCATTAATACACTTTTAAACCTCTAAATTTCACATGCATTAGGATATTCTGCATGCTTCTACCAGTCTACTGCTATATTTTTTATTTCCCTTTTCAAAGGCTTTTTCCATAATAAGGGTTTCAGGTGAATTACATCAACAGAGAAATTACAGTCCTGGTCCCAGCTTTCTTTCTATGCATCTGAGTAGCTGTCAAATGGAAGAGAAAAATTTATAGGATTGTATACTATGCTGTCACTGAATAGGTTCATTAATTTTTATGTGTTTGAGGCTATGTTTCAATATAAATAGATTCTGAGAGATTACAAGAGAAGTGGCTTGCTTGTATGTCTCAGGAGGATAAACTTGAATGATGAATTTCATATAGTTAAAATTTATAGTAAGAAAAGGGGTTCATGAGTTGTTTTAGGTCTTTAATGTTGCTGCCTTTCCTTAACGTAACTGTGATTAAGAATTTATTGATACAGATTGCCAATAGGTGTTTTCAACGTCAGATTTCCACATTTGGACCTTGCCCATACATGATAACTTTGAGATAATTTGTTCCACGTAAACGTGTTACATAATAGCCCTGCATCCAGCTGATACCTCCTCTCAATAAAAATAGCATTTTATTTTCTGTTGTGGAAGTCAAGTCAGTTTGCTTTAAGCATGCTTCCACTTCATTCCTGATTGATCTTTTTCAAAAACTTCAAAGAATATATGTTTTATTGTTTTTTCTCAATGAATTTGTGGGCTGGGTCTGAATTTCTTGGGTTGTTTGCAGGTTTTTAATAAGAGATTCCTTAGTGATGCTTTAATTTTTTTATAGAAATAACTTTTATAGCATATGCTGTGAGCTGGGAATGCTTGGGGCTTTTTTGGGTTTTTTTTGTATTATGTAATAAAAGCTAATGTTTGGTCTTGCAGACCTTAAGGTCTAGATCTCTTTTATTTTTAAATTTATTTTAATTGAAGTGTTTTAATATCCCATTTTCCCTACAGATGTGTTGAGGAATTGATTTACTCACTGTAAGCAAAATAACTACTCTTGGTTGAAGTACTGGTAAGTTGTTATTCCTAATAACATTTACTTTTTAGCTTTAAAAAAAACCCCAGCAGCCAAACATGGCTATAATGTTTAAGTGGCTGAAGGCTTTGGCTGAATACATTCTGCAGGTCGTTAGTGTGTGGCCATGTATGCGTGTGTTTCAGAAAAGCGAAGTTAAAAAGGCCCCGGGATCGTTCCTGCTGGGCTCTGGGGCTGTACTGGGATAGTGCTCTCTCCCTGTCTGGCTGCACAACAGCTTTCAGATCTGATTCTAGCTCTGGGGACTTCCATGATTTGACTTCAGATTTCACTGAGAACTTTTATATCATAGTTCTGCTTGTTCAGAAGGGTTTTTGGTATGCAGATGTCTGTCTCTAGAGATACTACACAGTTTGGATAACAAATGGTGTGGAAAGTATAGCAGGAAGAACTTGCCATACAAGCATCTTGTGTTGTCCTTATGCTTTTGTCAGGATCAGTGGGAACCTTTGAGCAGACAGTTACTGTCTCCTGTTCTACAATTGTTCTGTTTCTGTTCTTCATTTGTAAAGCTCTGGCTTTGTACAAAATGATAAATGCCAGTACAGTTTTCTGTTTAATTTTTTAAAATTAAACTGCTAGCTGATAGACTTGAAATCATTCCTCATATAGTCAAAACATAAAATTGGCAGGCTTGAGTAGGTAAATTAATTCAGTTCTATACTGGATGAATATAGGGACAGGATTTTTTCCCTTTTTCTTAACTAGAAGGAATTTGGTCCTGACCTTTTGTTGTCTATGGCACATTTTGTGACTTCTTGGGAGTTGCCTGTGGAAAGACACAAGTCTTTTGTCTTCTGTCTGCTTAAAATTCAGACTCCTTGATTCTGCATATTTAATTAGGGCATCCATTGCGTTTTGTATACATGGATTAACTTACTTTTTGTGGGAAGCTCTATTCCTGTAGCACTGAGCTTTGGAATATTTGCTTTTCTTTAAGAGAGAGTTTCTTTTAGTCTGACGTGCTACCTGATTGAGCAAGGCCTTCCTTAGGCTTCAGATAGCTTTGGAAAATGTTGTTCCAATATGCAAATTCACTTATTTTAGTGGCTAGATGGTAGTGAATTTTACCTGTCCCATGGCTGTGTTTGTTAGCAGAGCCCTCCAGCAGCCACTGCCTTCTGCACTGCCTCAAATGCTGTGAGAGAAGCTGGTTTTGTACTCCAAAGTGCTGTGCTTCTCTTCCACTCCATGGTGTGGAGGCTAATGCAGAGCCCTTCTGTAGGGGTAGGGTGCAAACTTTGCCAGGCTGTCTTAGTCTGACCTCCTGGTGCTTCTGGGTCCATTTCATTTTGGACCAATTTTATCATTTGAATTTTCAGTCCTGAAGCGAAAGAAGTGGAAAAAGATGTAGCAAAAGAGTTCATGGACTTTGAGGAATTAAGTTTTAATGCGTGTACACAAACTCACTTTTATTAAGTATTTAATCTGTTCTGTGATCTGTAAGTTTTATTACTTTGTTCTTTTAGAAGTCTTAAGCTATTTTTCCCACTTCAGATGTGTGTTGAACAGCATATTTCTTGATCTGTTTCTTCTCCAGCTGTTCCTCAAAACTCTTCCTATGCTATCCACTGGTGCCTTCCTAGAATCTCTAAAACATGTGACTCATGTTCCATTTTAATATTAATCTTCATGTGATTCCTACATCTTTCTGTGTGCATTTTTTCATTGGGTTGTAAATCAGCTATTGTCAGATGTAGCTCTTTGAGTAGAACTTTGGCTTTTCAGTTGCACACTGAGTAATTCTTCCATCCTTTCCTGGTTTACAATCCTTACCTAAAGGAAGAGGTGAATGTGAAACCCTTAAATGACTTATTTGAAATAGTTGCCTAACAAAAGAAGTTGCTTCAAAAAGCAGTTATGAAAGCATTCAAATGGGTGGATCTTGAAAGATCTGGTGTTGCATTCTCTGGTTAGGTGGTGTTTAATTGAAACACTGGTTTTTAACTCTTTTTTAAGAGAAGAGAGAAAATACTCGAAAACACCAGGAGCTTTATTAAAATTGGCATACTTTGCTTAATACAATAAAATTTATTATTTAAAAATAATACCTAGAGAAGAGTTCATTTGTGAATAAAGTTCCACATCTTATCTGGAATTAACCTTGAAATCTGTCAGACCTGGCAAATAGCCTTTCTTACCTAAAAATACCCAAACCTACATGAGTTGTGCTTTTACTGCTCTGCTTAAAGACTGTCTAATGGTGGTAAAAGCAGATTTAGGGCTGTCCAGAGCACTTAGTTCCTGCTAAAGATGGTACAGAATAACGTAATCGACTTAGCTGCCAATAAAGGACACTTCTTTCCTCCAGTTTATAAGTTACCAGGGATGTTCTTGAGAATAAAACCTTGCTTCAGTAAACTTTGAAGAGTAGAGGTTTGGTTTGCTCAGAACCTCATTCTGTCCGTTCAGCTCCCTCTGTTGGAGTGAATTCCTTTTCCTAAGTAGGTCACCTTGGTCAAAAGCTTAAGCCTCAGATTTCATTCTGGACTAGTTTGTGAACGTGGTGGTGTCTCATGCATGGGTGTTGTATGTGTTTGGCTTCAGTCTCACACTTGAAGGAGTGCAGGGTTACAGTGGGCCTGAAATGGCTGAAGCCATTTGTTTGGCCATAAGGGATGTCTCTTACTGCTGGGATCTTTTAATACAGCAACAAATAATTACAAAAAAAGCTGAAGGGAAAAACTTTGTAAACTCAAATGTTTTGTAATTGTTGCCTTGAACCTTTAGGCAGGTTGGGAATGGATGGCATGGAGTGTCAACATGTTACCAGTGGTTTGAACGAAACTTTGTCAGTATTACAGGACTACCCGGGTCCCTAATTTATCCTGACCAAAGTACAGTGCTTGGAAACCAAACCAGTAACTAGTAGATAACAGAAGGTTGAAAAATGGGCAGATGCCTAATTAATTTTACAGAAGGAATGGTAGACTCATGTCATCTAGGAAAAAATGGGCTTTTCAGTATCTACCTCAAGTGTAGGATCACTGCATATGTCTTCATGGAGGAGGGTATTTTTGTAACATTATTGAAATTTCTTAGTAAAATGTGCCTTAATTCATAAGTAAACAAATGCTGTGAAATCTTTTAAAGCAAATGTAAATTTCACAAGTGTAGAGGCTGCTATTAATATTTTGGCCATTCCTGTGGCATCTTTTTGATGTATAATAACTTGGAGAACAAGAATGTGTTCTTAATTATAATACCTCATCAGTTCTGTTTACTGCTAATTATTTTACAAGATTTAGAGAGAGTTTAAGATGAACGTCATGGGGTTACTTGCAAAGTTCTTGCTCTGACCCAACATAGGTGAACCTAGCAGGGAAATTTGCCCTGAAATTGCTTTTGGCCGGTTCTGTCAGTGTATGAGGCAGAGGGCTGACACCAACTGGAAAGAGCCTTTTAAGGGTGACTAATACATAACTAAATTACTTTTTTAGAGGTGGGGAAAGTTGATGTCTGTAATTGGATTTCTATATATTTAGTTATTGAAAATAACTAAAAATTATTTTATATGGTCTTATTTATGGGGTTTCCAATGTACACGTTAGTACTTCTGAGTGTTTGTGTCAATAATGGACAACTTGGTGTTGGTTTTTTTTACGTTTTGATACTTCAGTCAAGTCATTACCATGAAAAAATATTTTAACTTCTAATTCATCTTCAAATGCCTAAATAGACTTGAAATTAGTTTAGTGAGAACTGGAAAAAAACAAATCAAACCCAAAGCAACCCCAAGACCAGGTTAGTGTGAGGGAAAAGCACCTTTCAAAATACTTAGTACATTGTCTTAACTGAGGATGAGTTGAATGTTTGAAACAGAGCATTTCTTTCAACCTGAAAGTTCTGTTTCTGAAAACATGAATGACCTGGGGTTGAATGCTCCTGCAGCTATGCACATTTCACAGTGCAAAGTGAAATTACCAGATCCCATATTCCACTTCTATGTGCAGTTCTTTCCCATTGTATTTAAAACAAAGAAGTCTATAGAACAGCATAAAACAGGACACATGGGTACCTGTGAAAGTCAGAGTGGGGCTTGTTGCACTGCTTCCAGTGCTCTTTGCTTTGCTGTAACTGGTTATTTTAAGATGGGACTGGGCAAGCTGGGATGCCGAGGCAGAGACCACTAGATGGCCCCACTGGTTTTTGCTGGGCTGTGGGTAATTTCTGCATCCCTTGTCAGAATCTGTCCAGGATTATCAGGGAGCAGTGGTGGTGAAGTTGACTTTCACAGTAAAATGAGGTTAAACCTATACATATTCAAAAAGACAAACTGATGTTGGAGTGCAGATACTCAAAATCATGAGGACACTTTAGAACCCTTTTTGCATGTCATCCTACAGTCAGCATTGGTTTCAAAATGATGTTAACACCTAGTAACTTCCTGTACATAAGTTTTGCATGTGAGGAGGAGTAAGATTTTACTTGAAGTAAATTAAGCTGATATTTTTTGGAAGATGGGAATATTGGGTTTGTATTTATCCATGTGGATATTGCTTGCTCAGTTTGGTTTGTCACTCACCTGTGGGCTTGGTTGCTGTTCCATGACGAGTACAGTTGGAAAATGGCTCAGGAGCCTTGCTAATGGCAGCTCGTGTGACTTGTGACCATTTTCTTCTGATTTCTGATGTGTCCTTTCCCACCAGTAACTAAACCAGTCATTCCATTTGCTTGTGTGTTTAGTTTTGCACTGTACATCTTTCATGAGCTGGAAAACTGGGTTAAGATGGTGGAATGTCTTGTGTCCAGTCACCATCTGTCTGTAAGAAACCAGTTTTCATTGGTTTTGATGGATCTGTGTCTTTGATGAAAGGAGCTTGAACAGTACTTAAAAATTTTCTCTTGTTACAAGAACCTTGGTTCTACTAAGCAATGTCAGCTTCAGGGGATGGGCCAGTGCAATGAAAATGGTTGCAAGAGCAAATTTCTTAGATTCCCACCACAGATTTATCTAGTGATTTAACACTGTGAAGAAATTTCAAATGGAATTCATGGATCCTGAAAGGATTCTTGGACTTGTAATAATTTCTCCCCTTTTTTAATAGTTTTGGTTAAATTTTCTATTTTTGATTCTTGAATTGATTATTTGACATTGTTTTTTATAAAAGTAGATATCGTGGACTGTGTAACATGGAATGAAGCATCAGTTAAATGTTTAAATTATCTTCAAGATACAGTAGTTGAATGTCTTAGTTTAAAGCAATGATGTGTATTCCAACAGCATTTTTCTTCTAATTTTTCATAAAGAATCCATTCAGATGAAGAGTGTCAAAAGGAGTCTACGAATGAGACACCAAGATGGCAGTTCCACTGGGGATTGAGAGGTTGAGGAAATGGACTAATGCTTGAGTGCTGGGATGTCTGTCCAAGAAAAGGATGTTAAAACGTGGACTCTCATGTTATTAAACCAGAGAAGATCTGGGTTGTGATCATCCTATCAAAATGGACTTTGCATTTGAATTTATCAGTGACTATCCAATGATGGATCTGGATGGCAAAATTTTCCTTTTGGGTTATGTTTGCATGACAGGCAAATTAATTTGGTAAAAGATCTGTTGCTACTCCTTTTGAGAAAATGTAATTTATAAAGTGACTTTAAATAAAAGGTTTTGGTTTATTTCACACTTTGTGTTTGTCCTTTCTGGCTGAATATTTTTATTGTGTTGATATTGAAGTGGGTTATCTTTTTGGTTGCTATTAAACTGAGAAATACTTTAGCTAAGTACTGAAGGCAAGGTAAAATTTTGTGCTATACTTGGTATCAAATGTGGTTTTCATTTGCAAATTATGTTCACTTTGCCATGACTTCCAATGAATTTTTATTCGCTGGCTTGTTCATTCAGGTGCTTAATATGAGGAGTTTTCAGTACTTGGCCTATTGTCAGGGCACTGCTGCTGAACTTTGTGAAGTTATTTTAAGATGGGATTGATACCAATTGAAGGCTGAGAAAATACGACAATAAAGGAGTACTTGAATGTTTTGTGTAACTTTTTTAGGTATGTTCTTGGGTTGTGTGTGGGTACAGAAACTTTTCAACAGATTTCCTGGACTACAGACTTCCTGAACAGTCTCTTTGGTCTTAAAATTGTTCTGTGCAAGTGTCCAATCTGCTTCACTGCTCTTGCATGTAGCCTTAGTATCACGATACTGTGCCATGTGTTTGGTGAGAAAAACTGAGTTATTCTTGGTATTGCATTTGATACAGATGACATATTAACCTTTGCAAATTAATTTTAAAATGGTTCTGATATTCAAAGTCATTATTTCCTTGCAGGTTTCTAGTGGATCTCGTAATTTAACTGTAGGCATTTCTTCTCTGTATGCTTCACCTGAAACTCAAAGTTGTCTTTGTTTTCTGCTGGATTTTGTGGTGCTAAGATTACCTTGAAATTATCTTTGAAAACTAAAAAAAAAAATCCTGTTCATTGTCTGTGTTTAACCATTTGCCTTGCTCAGACTTTTTTGGAAATACCCATTTTTGCCATGATGAGTTGCTCATAGCTGTTCCATCCAGCCATTTTGGTGGTACATGCTTGCCCCAGTTTGGTTTTGCCATGTGTTTTTATGGTGGAGTTGGATACTGGGACTGACCTGAAGGGTTTCTCATTCAATGAGTGGATTTCCTGAGTGTTACCAAAAAATGCTTGAAATGGTCTTGCATTGGGATTTTTTAGTTCTTGCAGTCAAGGTGCAAGGAGTCTTCTTGAATAAGTGGTAAAGTGAAATATTTTTTTTAAATGGTTTGTGGCATTGGAGAGTTCCTAATGAAACCCCTTGTGGAAAGAGGCTAGATGGTTGTAGGAGATAAATGGCAGGTCTGTGGAGGAATTAAGGGGAATGGTGTTGGTTCTACTGGTGGAAGCCAATGGTTTTTGGCTGTTGGGATGCTGTGCTGTGGATGGTTCCATAGAACCCCAGATTAGCCCATTGCCCCTTTGTCTTCCAGTGGTCCCCCAGTGGCTGATGCCTCTGTCTTGTTTTGATGCTTATTAATATGCTGGATGTCCTTATGCTTTAAGGGGTTGTTTTTGGTTGTGGAAGACAACTGGCAGTCAGAATCAAATGGTCAGGGAATACTTGGATCACCTCCATTCCCTTGGTGATACATCCTCTCAATTCCAGGATGTTGTGTTAGAGATGTCCATTGATTGATTTGCAATTCTGCAGCTTGGCTATTGTGCAGCTTTAAAATTAATTTGTTGTGTTTAAATCTGTTAAAGACCATGAATGGGTTAAGAAAGTGCATTATAAGTAAGCAGTTTGATGGTGTTGGACTGACTTGACCGTAGTGCCTTGGTGTAGCTGATGGAAATGATGTGGCTGTTGGATTTGAGTTGTTGGGGGAAACCACTAGGGAGGCGCTGTGGAGCTGGAGGGCAATCTCAGCTCTGTGGGGTTGGCTTGGGAGCAGATGATGCTCCTGTCCCCCTCTGCCAGTGCCAGCACTGGGGGGCAGAGGGGAGAGCTCTTGTCTGGGGATGCTGCCTCAGAACTGGGGGGAAGCTGCCCCTTGGGTGGGGTGACCCCCAGGGTGGGCTGCTGCTGCCTGCATGGCTGTGAGCTCCACTTCCATGCCTTCAAAATGGCTTGTAACAGCACCACTTCCTGTCCAGGGAGGAAGTAATTTCAGCCCAGGCACTGAAATATTTAGCAAATCTTTAAAACAAAAGGCACAAATTCCATTTCTTTCTGGCTTCCAAAGGGTGCCTGAGCCACATGGGGTTAAGGTGCCCCTTGAGCTGGGGTAGTTGGAAGGAGCCAGGGCTGTGGGGTAGCAGGCACCCTTTAGGTGGAGGCTCTCTCTTTTTTTGGTAGAAATGAAGGGGTGGGTCTATGGTACATCACCTGAGTTGTGGGGTAAATGTAGAGAGTGTCAATCAAAGGCAGAGCTCAGAGCTGGGAAGGAGCTCTAGATGGCGGCTGTGCCTTAGAGAGAGCGCGCTCAGCTCCGTGCCTTCCCCAACACTTTACGCAACTTTCCCTAACTTTCAGGCAGCCTCAGGGGGCCCCCACAGCCCCTTGCCTCTCCTAGGCACTAATCGGGGGCCGAGCGGACCTTTTTCGGGCAGAAAAGCAGCTTTTGAGGGCTCCCTTTTCGTGCCTTGCTGGAAAGAAGAAGCCGTGGAGAGAGCCCAGGTCGTTGTTTTTCCAGCTTAGAAGCCATGGCGTACCTCCATTTTTGTGCGCTCTCCTAATGAGCTTTTTCCTCCGGACATTTTTGTACTAATTACCGCTTCTTTTGCTTTATCGGCAGCATATTTTTGGGATTAGAATATATATTTTTTTTTTGTTTTCTGAAATTTGTATTTTATCGGTATAATTCTAAATATTTTGGATCTAATGTTTTTCCACTACCCGAAACTAATATCGACTTGGTCCTGGCGGCGGTGCATGGATCAGGTAGGTGAGCAATTAATAATAATAATTTTTAGATTTCTGCCGTTTTGAGTACTTTGATTTTCGACCGATTTGTGCTGTATTGGGATGACGCAATAAGATACAGAGATTATTTGCATCCAGTGTTACTTTGGGAAAGTTTGCAGGATGCTCCTCTTCTGTGTTTATTCTCGGATTTTTCTTATAAAAATGATTATTTGTTTTAAATCTCCGGTTTGCCGTGTTGATCAGTGCTGTGTATTGTTATAACAATATCATTGCAGCGTCAGGACTTTGTTCCTGATAATGAAAGCCAGTGAAACGAACTGGGACCTTACCTTTCTTTCAACTTTTGACAGTAAATACCTGGGCACAGGACTTCAAAGCAAACAGACACCCCTGACCCCCTTTTAATATTTAAGAATAAAAAGATGATGAGAAATAAGGACAAAAGCCAAGGAGAGGAGGGTTCAGTCCACAGCAATGCATCGAGGTATGACCTATCAACTTTCTTTTTTTTTTTTTTTTGTAAAACCTGTGAATACCCTGTTTACTTTGACAGCCTTGGGTTACTGTCAGTGCTTAATAGAAAACATTTTACTGATTTTGCTTCCTTTTTAAGGAATGACCTTGAGATTGTTAGCATGCCACACCCTAATTTTTTTTGGTAGCAATTTCTGAAACTTGTGTTGTGACTTAAGGGCCCATGTCCTAGGCAAAAGGTACTGTACCTTTATTCAGGGCAGCCCTTGCCCCTGTATGATGTTTTTCCAGCTTTTGAATTTCAGTTTTTAGGTTTTTTGTGCTGTGAAAAATGACCTTGTCGGTTTAGCCATTGCTGCATTGCACCATTTTACATACAAGGCAAATTTTTCTTTGAAGAATCTCAGAAGTCTAAACTTTAACTGAGGGCCATACAGAAGCCTGGTGTAGTAGTAAATTATAGTAAATAGGCACAAGAAAAAGTTACATGAATGAAAAAAAGCTTATTTTAAAATATAAAGTGGAAAGTGCCTGTTTGTCGGATACCTCTTACTTCGAATTTTATTTGAGCTTGTAGAACTTTGATTCTGTGGAGGTATTTTAGAATATTTTTATACAATTTAACGAGACTTTGCCCTGCTGGTGATGGCATTTTGTATCATAAAATATACACTGGGACTGTTAACAAGAGACACCAAATGATTTGCTTGCTTTGTTTAACGTATTTTTGCTCAGATTGCTTTTATTTACTTTTGTCAAGTAATGAGATTCTTTACAGATTTTTAGAAACTTAACCTTGATGTGGGAAAAGTATGAAATACTGAAAATGTTTGTTTGCTGAGAATGCAGAAGTACAATTACCAAATCGTTCATTTTGTATTTAAAAGGTCGGCTCTTCCAAAAATTGGAAATTAAACTATATGCATTTTTGGTTTTTAGTTTGTAAATATCACTGAGTTTTGCATTTTGTTAATTTCAGTTGAATCTTGGCCTGTTTCTTTTTCTCTGGTGTTCTCTTCCTGCATTTTTAACCAACATTAATAAAAAAGAACTCTGAACTGTCTGTTGTATCACATGTGCTCTATGTGATGTTCAGGTGTTTGAATAGTATTCTTGATGTCCAGTATTTAACCTTCCTAAGCACACAAACTTGAAATAGTGTGGCAATATATATTATCAAATTACTGTAACCTAGTATAAACGTGGATGGTGTTCTGGGTATATTAAAAATGCAGTCAATTTTTTAATTCTAAAATAAATATGGGTAAGATTGTTTAATTTGAAATTATTAATAACTAAATTAGCCTCAAGGATTGTTGAGGCACTTAAACAGATCTTTTCTAATAATGCAGTTTAAAAACACATCACATTTTCATACTGTGCTTTCTTTACTGTAAATGCTGCACACAAAATATTATGTAAAAAGTCACCGTTTATAAAAATTATCTTTCATATGATAGAAATTTTTTATGCTTTTCTGAAGTGGAGATTATCGACAAGAGCAGCAATAGACATAATTTATTGAGGAAATTGAAAGTATTTTTATCAGTGTTGGAAAGGAATAGGAGCTAAAATCTGAGCCATGTAGCAGAAGTCCCACAGGGGGTTTTGTCCTTAGGGGTATGAGATTTGCATAGTGCCTCGTGTGCTTTTGGGGTTTTCATTGAAAGGTTATTTATTAAAATTGATCCATTTACATTTAACACCTGTTGTGTGAGGTTACCTTTCTCCCCCTTCACATCTTTTTTTTGTGTGACACCAGCACACCTGAAGTGTGGGAACAATCGAGCACAGGATATTTGCAAGTGAACCCTGTTGAGCTTATTTGTTAGCTGTGAGTCAACTCAATGTCATAAAATGGGCTTTACTTCCTGAGGTTGACCTGAAGTAGGGGAAATGATTTCTAGGAAGTAAAGCCACACCACTTTGCTGTATTGTAACCCAGAAATGCACCGGTGTCTGCACTTCACATGCTGCTGAGACCAGCTTGGCATCAGTGGAAGTACCTGAACGTGGAAGTGGCACAGTCCTGGTGGGAGCCCTGGGTGGTGGAGGAGGTGGATATGGCCCGTGCCATTCACCTGGGCTGCAGAAGGGTGTTAGAGTGGAAGAATATGCAGTTCTTGCACACCAGTGTAGTGCCCTAACTGAGGAATTGACTCCCACTTTTCCAGTTCTAAGGAAATACAAAGGCCTGTGTGGAATAAACAGAAGGGCCTGAGAATTGACCCAAAACAGATAATTATTCTTAGGGAGAGAGATGATGTTAACTCTTTGCAGTTTGTAAGCTGAGGGTTGTACTCTTGCCTTTCCAGGTGCCCAGCAATGCCTGTCCTTTGTGCTTTGACAGTAAATCGAACTTGGAGCTGAGTGATTATTTCATGTAACTTTGCCCAACAGGGAAAAGTTGCTTTGGGTCTGCTGCAGTTCCTGCTGACCCCCAGCTGTGTGCCTGGGATTTGCATAAGTAACTGAACACAATCTGCTGTATTTTCTAGCATCTTCAGTGCTGCATGTCTGTAAGGCAGGTAGTGTGAAGGTACATCCATGGTCAGCCCTCGTGGGAAGTGCAGAGGCCGGAGGCAGGCTGGGGCCCCCCTTAAGCCCAGGAGTGAGTTTTTTTTGCAGAGATAGCAAGTAACAGCAGTGGATACATAGTTTTCCTTTCCGTTGGCCTGTATCTGTTGCAGTTTCTCTCCCACCTCTGAAATACCCAGCATGGGAACAGTTTGAGCTGCAGACCCTGCAAGGCTGGACAAGCCCTTGTGTCTGTGTCCAGCTCTACGCTTCTCTGGCATTTAAACAGCTTTTTTGGGGGGGGAAATAGGTTGCGGTGGGTTAGGTCCCAGGCCGTTTTCTGTGCAGAGCTGGAGCTCCGAGGTCTGAAATGGCGTGTTTTTGCTCAGCAGCCACCTCCCAGCGCAGGGCTTTGCGCAGCACAACACCCTCGCCTGACGTGGCAGCCATTTTATGGAGATGTCGGTGCACACGAGCCAGCACTTGGCGGAGCGGGGGGAGAGGAGGGAAACAATCACTTTCAGCACAAACTGCCCCCGATGCGTGTCTGTGGGAGCAGGGGGGCAGCCGGTTGTCGCCGGGGCAGCGGCGGGGCCGGCTCGGGCGGCCGGCGGCGGCCGGCGCTGTCACAAAATGGCTGTTCTTTGTGCCGCACCGCTCGGGCGCCGCGGGAAGCGGCCGCGGGGTTCAAAGGCCGCCCTGCGCCGGCCGCGCCGCCATTGGCTGCGCGCGCCGCGCGGGCCCCCGGGAGCGGAGCGGGCTGGGCTGAGCGCGCCGGCAGCGGGCGGCTGCCGCTGCTCCCCCCGCTTCCGCTCAGCTGCCGGGCGTGGGCTCGCACAGCCTGCCTCTAAGGGGCTTTCGTTTTAATAGTGCGAGCTATTTTCAGAAGTCACTTGAAAAGAAGCAGGGCTATTTTTTGCTGCGGATTTTTTTTTTCTTTTTTTTTTTTGTAAAACCTGTGAATACCCTGTTTACTTTGACAGCCTTGGGTTACTGTCAGTGCTTAATAGAAAACATTTTACTGATTTTGCTTCCTTTTTAAGGAATGACCTTGAGATTGTTAGCATGCCACACCCTAATTTTTTTTGGTAGCAATTTCTGAAACTTGTGTTGTGACTTAAGGGCCCATGTCCTAGGCAAAAGGTACTGTACCTTTATTCAGGGCAGCCCTTGCCCCTGTATGATGTTTTTCCAGCTTTTGAATTTCAGTTTTTAGGTTTTTTGTGCTGTGAAAAATGACCTTGTCGGTTTAGCCATTGCTGCATTGCACCATTTTACATACAAGGCAAATTTTTCTTTGAAGAATCTCAGAAGTCTAAACTTTAACTGAGGGCCATACAGAAGCCTGGTGTAGTAGTAAATTATAGTAAATAGGCACAAGAAAAAGTTACATGAATGAAAAAAAGCTTATTTTAAAATATAAAGTGGAAAGTGCCTGTTTGTCGGATACCTCTTACTTCGAATTTTATTTGAGCTTGTAGAACTTTGATTCTGTGGAGGTATTTTAGAATATTTTTATACAATTTAACGAGACTTTGCCCTGCTGGTGATGGCATTTTGTATCATAAAATATACACTGGGACTGTTAACAAGAGACACCAAATGATTTGCTTGCTTTGTTTAACGTATTTTTGCTCAGATTGCTTTTATTTACTTTTGTCAAGTAATGAGATTCTTTACAGATTTTTAGAAACTTAACCTTGATGTGGGAAAAGTATGAAATACTGAAAATGTTTGTTTGCTGAGAATGCAGAAGTACAATTACCAAATCGTTCATTTTGTATTTAAAAGGTCGGCTCTTCCAAAAATTGGAAATTAAACTATATGCATTTTTGGTTTTTAGTTTGTAAATATCACTGAGTTTTGCATTTTGTTAATTTCAGTTGAATCTTGGCCTGTTTCTTTTTCTCTGGTGTTCTCTTCCTGCATTTTTAACCAACATTAATAAAAAAGAACTCTGAACTGTCTGTTGTATCACATGTGCTCTATGTGATGTTCAGGTGTTTGAATAGTATTCTTGATGTCCAGTATTTAACCTTCCTAAGCACACAAACTTGAAATAGTGTGGCAATATATATTATCAAATTACTGTAACCTAGTATAAACGTGGATGGTGTTCTGGGTATATTAAAAATGCAGTCAATTTTTTAATTCTAAAATAAATATGGGTAAGATTGTTTAATTTGAAATTATTAATAACTAAATTAGCCTCAAGGATTGTTGAGGCACTTAAACAGATCTTTTCTAATAATGCAGTTTAAAAACACATCACATTTTCATACTGTGCTTTCTTTACTGTAAATGCTGCACACAAAATATTATGTAAAAAGTCACCGTTTATAAAAATTATCTTTCATATGATAGAAATTTTTTATGCTTTTCTGAAGTGGAGATTATCGACAAGAGCAGCAATAGACATAATTTATTGAGGAAATTGAAAGTATTTTTATCAGTGTTGGAAAGGAATAGGAGCTAAAATCTGAGCCATGTAGC